CGTGCCGGGGGAGACCAACAACACCTGGCCAGGGCCATAGGATTGGCAAAAGACCAGATCCGTCAGCGCCTCCTCCTTAGGTGGAGCCTTCACCTGGAAGGGGCGGCGGCCGGTCGGGAACGAGGGTCGCCGAGGCCATCCGGCCCTGTCTACAACAGTGGGTGGACAGGGTCCGCGGAGAGCTGTCATTCCGGACGACGCAGGTACTCACCGGACACGGATGCTTCGGTGAGTACCTGCACAGGATAGGAAGGGAGCTTAACTCCCGCTGCCACCACTGCGGTGCTGAGGTGGACTCAGCGCAGCACACCCTCGAGGAATGTCCCTCGTGGGTGGCGGAGCGCCGAGTCCTAGTTGATGTGGTGGGAGCGGACCTCTCTCCCCCGGCCCTTATCAGGGCCATGCTTGGGGGAGACGAGGGCTGGTCCGCCGTCACCTCCTTCTGCGACACAGTTGTGTCGCAGAAGAAGGCGGACGAGAGAGTCCGCAGGGGCGAAGTAGCCCCTGGGGACGGAGCGAGGCGCCGAAGATGTAGGAGGGCGGCGCCTGGCATACCCGCGCACCAACGCGGAATGGAAGGGCGGCGCATCCGTGGGCGGGGGGGGATGTCACAGCTGGCATTCTTTCCCCAGGGGTACCCGCGGCTGCGCCGCCCCCCCCCCCCAATTCCGCCGGGTCCTCCTGATCAACGGAGGGCCCGATCGGGGGCAGATAGGGGGCGCCTGGTCAGGCGGGGGAGGCGCGCAGCAAGGCGTGACTCTCCCCCTGTGACACGCAGTCACACCAGGCGCCTCCGGGAGGGGGACAGGGCGGCCGGCCTGCAAGGGCGGGCTCTCAGGCCGCTCACCTCCCTCCCCGAGAACGGCGACTCCTGACCGAGTGGGGCGGAGGGGTTAAATTGACTCCTCCGCCCCCCCGTAAACCTCGGTCGGGAGCGTTGGGGCGGGCCGGGTCCGGACGGGACCGGGCCCGGCCAACAGCGCCCCCAACAAGGGAGGTATAGCCGGACGGGGGGGCCTACGTCCGGCCACTGAAGATGGGAAATGGGTCGGGGGAACCCCACCGACCCGGGAAGGGAGCCGGAGCAAAGCACCCCGCCCTGCGGCCGAGGGCGTCCTGGAAGTTACGCGCAAGCGGTTCCCGGGACGCCCTCACTATGACCGCATGGGGCCCGACAGAGGTTTTAGTGGGTAGGCCCCCTCCGGTAGTTATTTCCGGAGGGGGAGAATCCCACACTACCCCTGAAAAAATCCCGTATTTCCCGGGGGTGTGCGTAACGCATTTCCTCTGCCTCAAAAAAAAAAAAAGGATTAAGTTTGTTCTTTTTCGCTGCACAGCTGTACTAGTACAATAAATTAAAGTGAGATAAACATATATTTGTCTCCCTTCAACTTATTGCATCAGTGCAGCTCTGCAACGAAAAAGAACAGACTTAATCCGATTCTGACTCGATTCGAACCCTCGATGAAAACTTAGTCATTCAGAAACATTCTTTCGATTAAAATTTTACAGAATTACTATCATAGAATTACTATCATAGAATTACTATCATAGAATTTACAGATTTTACTATCATTCACGTCCCAGTGAGGAATGAATTATCAATCGACGTTTTTTCGATGTCGATCGATAAATCATTTCTCACTGGGGTTACAGATATTATAGATGCTATAGTAAAATTTTTCTCTAAGTGGACGTTTTAATTTTGTTTGAATTCAAGAGCGTGTACCAATCAGATTTACTAATTTTATAACAGTTACAAAACAGCTTTCTCTGCTGAACGCAGCCACTGTTTGGTCTATCACAGAGCTTCAAGCATATAAATATGTCACTAATCCAACCCAGGTGGTTTAACCCAGAACAAGTCGAACATGCTATAATAATTACTAAGTTTCCATCAAGGGTTCGAATTGGGTCGGGTTAAGTCTGTTCTTTTTCGCTGTACAGCTGTACTAGTACAATAAGTTGAAATGAAATAAACGGGTAGGACCAGATTGACCACGATACGATTGGACACAGATTGTAATGATTGGTTCGACCTAGTATAGTAATAGAAATCACATCATCGTCGTTATAAGAAGTGGAATTATTAAAACTTTTTCCGTGAAAAAGGGTAATATTAGTAGATACATTATTTTTATATGCAATAATGCCTTTTCCTCTTAAACGTAAATTGCATTCGCATATTTCTAAAAGACATCGTCGTAGGTTAATTGGAGAAGAAAGTGAGTTTCCCCCATCATTCTCCGATGAAAATTTACGTTTGGACACATATGTGGGAAAAAGTTTTAATAATTCCACTTCTTATAACGACGATGATGTGATTTCACATGTCGATTGCAAGAATGCTGTTTCCAATACTTTATGTAACGAGATAAATGTATCGCCTTTAAGTAGAGAAGTAATTTCAGAGCCAGATGTTTCATTTGACAATGCATCTATGTCAGCAAGTTGCACTGCTGAATATTTTACTAACGCGAAGGAGGGAAAGTGTAATCGTGAAGCTTTAAAGTCTTTCTGACACACTGGGCTGTCAAACATCGTATTCCTCATGTAGCATTGTCTCATTTATTATTCGGTTTGAGTGCGACATATGAAATATTTTCCGATTTGCTAAAATGTGCAAAATCTGTATTACGTACACCACGATCTTCAAATATTACAAGTATGTCATCTAGACAATATTGTCATCTTGGTATTGAATGGGGTTGTAACGCTAATTCGCA